TTGAAAATTTATAGGTCAGCTTTTTGCCTTCCTCTTCCTGCGCAAGTATAAACTTGGTTTATACTTTCCTTTTAATTTTGGGATGCCTGCATAGCCTTTTGTTGAATCTAGAAAATATAAACCCATAATTAATACTAAAACCATATATGTGTCCATTTGTTATTAAAATTAAAGGAGTGATGGTGTATATATAGCCTCATGTAAATTGTCAGAAATTGCATAATATATTAACTTGTATAATGTCTTCCCCTCCCTCTCAATTTCTTTAAGTCATTCCTTGGTGGTCTGAATTGGGTATTTATAGGAGTTGATGAAGCTCATCGTTTAAAAAATGATGATTCCCTTCTGTATAAGACTTTAATACACTTTAAGTCTAATCATCGTCTTCTTATTACTGGAACCCCTCTGCAAAACTCCCTCAAAGAGCTTTGGTCTTTGCTGCACTTCATCATGCCAGAAAAGTAAGGAATGTGATTTTTTTTTTTTTTGTGGTTTAAATTTCTTATGGCAGTATATTGTAGTGATTGGAGAATCAATAGAGATAAAGAATTGCACTGTGAAATAGTTTAAATGTTTTATATAAAATAGATGCACATATTTTTCATGCTGCTCTTGATAAATTGTTTTGGTAGCAGTTGTCACTTTTTCTGTTTTAGCAGTCCACAAAAAAGATGGATTGATGTATGGCTCAGAACCCTGAAAAGACGCTTCTTCTTAAACTAAAAGGAAAATCACATGGATTTACTCTAGGGAAATAGAATGGGGCTGAGGATGTCGTCTTTTCTGTGTTAGTACTATGAACGAAAAAAGATTGTACCACAGTGCCCAATATCCAGTAGTTCAGCCAGGCAGCAAATTTGCCTTTATGGTTTGCATAGGTTTACTGTATTGATGTTATTCAATACTGAGCACTGTTTATATCTGGGATAAATAAGAGCACATGTTCTTTTGGTTATCTTGTAAATACAAAGCACTGTAGCTCAAATTAGTTTCAGAGCTATGCGTTGTATTGACTTTTTCAGAACCTTACTAGCAAAGCCACTAAGGTTGTTGTCTGGCACCTATTCTTCATTTGATCACAAAGTCCATTCTCTTAGTCTGTTAGCACATACTAGAAAATAATCACATTTCAGCTAGTCCATACAAGCTGCACAAGGTATATGAAGTGGTTTGTTCTCTTGCACTTCCTCCAGCTGTACAACTGTTTATTCATGCTGATTTTGAGAAATACAATGGAATTTCTGTAACTTTCTACCTGGGTTTCCATGCAGAACAGTAAAATGTTAGGTTTTCACTGGATAAATTAAAATTCAGTAGTTTCTTTTGAATTTTCATTCTGCAAAATTATGGAAATTTCCATTCTCCTATTTGCAGACAAAATATTTTGAGTTTCTTGTGAGATGCAAATTCAGAAACTTATTTAATAAAACAGAAGGGAGTGGGGAAGAAAGAAGTCCATGTGTGCACATGTGGTATATTTAGGTCTTTGTGTGTCTGTGTTAATGGTATATCACTATTTTACCTTTATTCTTTCTGATGTTGAAGATTTTCTTCCTGGGAAGATTTTGAAGAAGAGCATGGCAAAGGGAGAGAGTTTGGTTATGCAAGTCTTCACAAAGAACTTGAACCATTTCTACTCAGAAGAGTTAAAAAAGACGTAGAAAAGTCTTCGCCTGCTAAGGTTGAACAAATTTTGAGGATGGAAATGAGTGCATTGCAGAAGCAATATTACAAGTAAGTAATGACACCTTTTAATTCCTGCTATTTTAATGAGAGATATCTATATGAAAATTACTGAAGTGTAATAGTTCTCATAATGCAATTTGAAATGATATTTTGAAAGCTTACATCCTTCATATTTCCACAAACGGTTAGAAATTACTTCCATTGCACATTCTATATCATAGGTGGATTTTAACAAGGAATTATAAAGCCCTGAGTAAAGGTTCAAAAGGCAGTACCTCAGGCTTTTTGAACATCATGATGGAACTCAAGAAGTGTTGTAACCATTGCTACCTCATTAAACCACCGGATGATAATGAATTCTATAATAAACAGGAAGCCTTACAGGTAATAGCTTTTTTATTAGTTGTTTTTTTAGTGCATGCAGTAATTTTATAGTGTTCTGGCAATTTATTAGTTCTTATTAAAGTATATTAAGAAAGAACAAGTTATTTATTAAATGTGCATTCTGAGCTTTACAGGTAAATGAATTGATTTTTTTGGTTTTTGTTTCTTAACCAGAACTGAGTAATGGAGATATCGATACTAAATAAAATATCCCTGGCTTGAATTATTATCAAAATAAAAAGGAAATAATTTGAAATAGTCTGTGTATTTTCAGACTAAATAAACTTAAGACCTATTTTAAACCCAGTTTAAAATAAAGCAGATAAATCGAATATAAATGCAAATGCATGTGACTGGCAATGGTACACCAACAATCCATGTGATAGCAGAAAGTAATCTGCAGAATCTCTTTAAGCCTTTTTGTAATCAAACACTGTTCTCTGCATGCCTTCAAACAACCAAAGTGAAAGGAAATAAAAGTAATAAACATCCAAAGCTTAGTCTGGTTGTTTTGTTGTTATAAATGAAAGCAATTATAGCATCGCTACCAAAGATGGTCTGTCATTTTGTTATGGATTTATAGTTTATTTTCTTTTGTAAAGGATAACTCATCTTTGTACTAAAACTGTTGAGAACCACAGCAACCAATAAAAGGACTGATTTAATGCAGTTTATAACAACATAAATGTTTCTAAAGATCAGGGTGTTTTTTTTTCTTCCGCTTGGAAGTTCATAATTTAAATCCTTTCCCAAAACTACTAGAATGAAATCACAAGCTGTCACTGTACAAGCTATTTTATATTATAAAGTGCTTATCAAAGATAAAGGATGTTTTGTTTGCAATTTGGTACACTCTAACTAATTAAGTTTATAATTAAATTCATCAGAACCTTTCAGCCATTATTGCTAATAATTGTATACTTGTAACAGTGATTTCCTTGGCTTATCTGAATTAGCTTTGTTAGCTCTAATGATGAATAATACATCCTTCTCATTTCTGGCATAAAGAATAAAAGCTCCTAACTCCAAATCTTTTATCTCCCAATATTCTATACTGGGCCTCTTCAGCTAAAGAGGCCTAATGTTTTCAACATTAAATTTGGCATGCATCTGAGTTTCTGTTCTAGTTGTTCCCACTGGAGCTGAGAAGGCTTAACATAGTAGCCTAGCTAAAGCCTGTTGACCTCTACAAACAAGATTCATGTCACTTTTATCTTGCCTAAGAAACTTGACTGATTAGGCATTGTTTAAAAATACTTAGAAGATCAAGTAGCAATGCTTATTTCTGTTCAAAAGACAGAAAGTGATGAGCAAGTAGTACTAAGATAGTCAACTCTTTTGTTGTTGTTTATTTGCTAGAAAAGAACTTAAGGCTACACTGTAACTGCTCTAATTCATAGCACAGTATATTTACTTAATAATTTAATGAAATGTTAAGATGCTGTTTTATGAACCAGAGCTGAGAAATGCATTTATTTGAAAAACATGCTAATCAGTACTCCTGTTAATTTCAGGTAGAGTGCTTAATGCTGTTATAATGAGTTTTTACAAGATCAGGACTGACTAAATACTTATTAAACTTTCATGTTCAGTTAATGAATGCCTAACCATCTGCAGTGTACATTAGTTTTGGGGTGAATTTATTTTGCAATACATGTTTTCTTGTCTTGAAGCATTTAATACGTAGCAGCGGGAAACTAATTCTTCTTGACAAGCTACTGATTCGTCTACGAGAACGTGGCAACAGAGTACTGATTTTCTCTCAGATGGTGAGAATGCTAGACATCCTAGCTGAGTATTTGAAGTATCGTCAGTTTCCCTTTCAGGTGAGATTTTGCTGGTAGTAGCCAAGAAGCCTTGTTCTTTACCACTTTATCTTAATAAAAGTGTCCTTTTTGTAGAAAGAGTTATGAAAGTTTAATTTTATGTACAAGAAAAGACTTGACAATTACTATATGCTAAATTGTATTTTGAAATGAAACTGATGGATCAGAAAGATGAAGTGTTACATTACTCTTATTCCCTTCCCCTCAATTGTTTTGACAAGTGAGAATTCAAGTTGCTCCTATTAGAATATAGTAGGAGCTCCTTTTTAACTGTATTGTTCAATCTCTTTAGAGACTTGATGGATCAATAAAAGGGGAATTGAGGAAACAGGCACTGGATCATTTTAACGCAGAAGGATCAGAGGTATGATTTTAGTGAGTGGTTTTTTTTTTTAATCTACTCAGTTTTATTTCCCCTCCCGAGAAATATAACAAATATTACACAAAAACTGAAGATAGAATGAAGTGAGGGATGTATTATGTTGAAATTCCATTGCTATTGCCTAGACTGTAAGGTTTAAAACTCTTAACAAACAAACAAAAAAAAAAACCCAAACCCACAACCATAAAAATATCCCCCCAAACAAACACACACACAGAAACCCCCAAGTGGAGGTTAAATAGGAAACACAGAATTTATGAAAATGGTATTTAACTAATATAACTACATAGTTATATATTTATATTTTTTGTCAGTACTCTTTATCAAAGTAATTTTACTTACTGTATAAAAACTGAAAAATTTTATTTTGTTGAGTTAGGACTTAATCCTTCAATGTTTACAGGAGCACTGAACTTTTACACAAGCTTGTGACATCAACATCCTACTTAGGCAATGGACAGAATTTAATTGTGTATATCATCGCATGAAGAAAAGCTATCTTTAATAGCTTTAAATATGGCATCTGTCATCATCAGTTTTTGCCTCTTATTTCCTTGTCCTGGGAGAAACTGAAGAACTGAATTCTAGCCATTTTTTGTGTACCATTTAAGTTTCCTAGTTTATTTAAGTTTCCACTATGGAAGCCATTCCATACCTTTGATAATCTTAGGTCTTTTGTCCTACGCTGACAGGGTTTTTCAATAATAGAAGTATAGCATTTGTCAGTTGCTGCTGAGATTATGTTTCTGGTATGGTTGAGTAGGAAGGACTTAATTTCATGGCATAAACTTCAGATATTTGTTAAACACAGAAGTTAGTTCTGTTTTAAATTTCTACTATAGACATCATTTTTTTTTTCTGGAATCCTTGTAGTTGTACTTTACATTATTTAAGTTGAAAGGGGATCCAAACTTCACACGGTATTCAAGAACGGAGGCAAACTATGAAGTTGCGCAGCAAAAAAATTGTTTCCTGATTTATTCTCTCTTTCTTTCCTAATAATAAAACTTCATACTTTTTTTTTCTATTACTAAAATAAGGTATTAATAGAAATATCTACAACTCCAAAGACTCATTCCTGAGCAGTAATGGCTTGCCATTACTTTAGCTGTATTTAAAACTCAAATTTATTTCCTGTTTCACTTCAATTTCATATACTTTTTTTATTGCCTGTCTCTGTAGTCCTTTGTAGTTGTCCCTGAATAACTCCGTATCATCTGAACACTTTGTCACCTCATTGTTCATCTCATTTTCATGTTGTTTATGAATATGTTGAAGAGCATTGACCCTGGCAGAACACTTCAGTTTTCTTAACAAAAATACAGAGGTACTTGGACACACACGAGGCTTTAACAACAATGGGTTTTGTATTTTTGGCCAGTGTTTTGCTTGGGTTTTTTTCTCCCCAAGTGGCTTTTGCTCATCTTCTAGGATGCTGCTTCCATAGAGAAGTTGATAACTTCACAAGAGAAATGGAGTTTGCTTTATACTTATACTAGATCTGGATGGGCTGGAGTTAATTGCCTTCCTAGCAACTCGTATGGTGCTGTGTTTTAGATTTGTGAGAAAAAACAATGCTAATAACGCATCGGTGTGTTAGCTATTGCTAAGCAGCATTTGCATAGTGTCAAGGCCGCCTCTGTTTCTCACTCTGCCCCACCGTGAATAGATTGGGGGTGCGCAAGAGGTTGGGAAGGGACATAACCAGGCAGATGACCTGAACTAACTAAAGAGATAATCCATGCCATATAAGGTCATATAAGGGAGAAGAGGGGGTTTAAGGAGGTTAGACATCTTTTGTTTGGGACTGGCTGGGCATCAGTCCTACCCATGGGAGGTGATGAGTGATTGCCTTTTGCATCATTTGTTTTGGTTTGGTTTTTTCTTCTTCTACTTCTCCTTTGCTTATTGAACAATTTTTATCTTGACCCCCAAGTTCACTTGCTTTTAGACTTCCTTTCCTCTTCCCCTGTCCCACTACGGGTGTGGGGGAGAAGTGGCTCTGTGGTGCTGTGTGGTGCGCAGCCTCAGTTGAGGGGTTGCTGCACCTTGGAGACAGGTAGCCTTTGGGATGAAGGTGTGTTTTGGTGTTATAATGACATTATAATGAGCAAAGTTCACACAAAGGACAGCATTTTGACATTTCTTGACAGACTGTTGGCCCAGGGTAGTAAAAGTACAGCTTCACCAGTTCCATAGTACCACCACGTTCCCGACTCTGCATTGTTTGCAACAGAAGTTGGCCGCGGTGTCTCCACTCCGCTCCACCTTCCATGCTGTTTCCAAGGTTGCAGGTCATGCTGCTCAAGGAACCATTGTGAATGGATTCTTTGCATGCCAACTGCACTCCACCCTGGTAACTTCTTGTACCTTATGTCTTCCCTTAATGTGTGAACAATGCCTTCCTAGCCACCTCTAGTAATTATTCCACATGGAGTAGCGCTGGACAGAAGTATAAATTGAGAGAGGAGTGGCTGGAGGGCAGCCCCGCAGAAATGGATCTGGGGGTGCTGGTTGGCAGCAGGCTCAATAGGAGTCACCAGAGTGCTCTGGCAGCCAAGAAGGCCAAACCGCATCCTGGGGTGCATCAAATACAACCAAGAGGGATCAAGAGAGGGGATTATCCCGCTGTATTCAGCGTTGGTGCAGCCTCACCTTGAGTTCTGTGTGCAGTTCTGGGCCCCACAATTTAAAAAGGCTGTTAAGGTCCTTGAATACATCCAGAGGGCAGCAAAGCTGATGGAAGGACTGGAAGGCATGTCCTGTGAAGAGTGGCTAAGGACTCTGGGTTTGTGTATTTTGGAGAAAGGAGGCTGAGGGGTGACCTCATTACTCTCTACAGCTTCCTGAGCAGGGGACGTGGAGAGGGAGGTGCTGATTTTTTTCTCCCTAGGATCGGAAACAGAACATGTGGGAATGGTTCAAAGCTGCATCAGGGGAAGTTCAGACTTGACATTAGGAAACGTTTCTCTACTGAGATTGTGGTCCAAAGCTGCAACAGGCTTCCTAGAGAGGCAGTCAATGCCCCAATCTATCAGTGTTTGAGAGGCATTTGGACAATTCCCTTAATAACATGCTTTAACTTGGTCAGCCCTGAATTGGTCAGACAGTTGGACTAGATGTTCATTGTAGATCTCTTCCAACTGAAATAGTATATTCTATTCTATTGTATTCTAATAGCAATCTACTGGCTCTAGCCATGACCTTATTGTATGACAAGTCTAACATATGTTTTTTATATCTTTTAAGAAGTGTATGAGTTCATAGTTTAATCCACAGAGCATATAAAAAAGTGTCATATTGGTTCCTTGAAGAATGTTGTAGTTAATATATATAAACCTGTTTCTTATTTTATAATTTCAGGACTTCTGCTTTTTGCTGTCTACCAGAGCTGGAGGATTAGGTATAAACTTGGCATCTGCTGACACTGTAGTTATATTTGATTCTGACTGGAATCCACAGAATGATCTGCAAGCACAGGCTAGGGCTCATAGAATTGGACAGAAGAAACAGGTACACACACTTGTCTCTCAAGCTCCAAACCTGAAGGAGGATTTCATGTTGTAACTATAAGGTGTACGTCTGGGCCTTTGTAGTCCTCATGTATTTTGAGAATAATACTTGCCAAGAATGTCTAAAAATGTTAATAATGCTAATTTGCCTTTAAAAAAAATAAATTTCCTTGTACAGACAGATTGCACAGTGGCCGTAGTATATGGATGGGTAGGGAGAAAAGTTGTGGACTTGTTCCACATTCATTGACATATCATTCTAGAAAGTAACTTCTATACAGCACATCCATTTTACTTAAAGTTAAATAATTCTTAGTTCTCTTTGGGTTTCGTTCTTGCAGAAGACTTTAAGTAGTGATCAGGTATAATACTTTTCCTTGTGGCCATGCTTGTGCCTAATTATGGAAATTTAAAGAGGAGAGGTCTAAGAATGTCTTTATTTTATTTTTTAAAATAATTTCTGTAGAGACTATAGTAACATGATTGGCTGGTTTCATATATGAAATAATAGTTCAATAAGATTTAGAAGATTTGTAATCATGACTAACATTGCTCCCTATTGTTGCACAAGGGGTTTTTGTGAACTTCATCTGAATATTGTTTTCACGTGTAATTTTTGAACATGCAAATAAAGCCTTTTTTATAATATGTATAGGTTAATATTTATCGGCTAATCACAAAAGGAACAGTAGAAGAAGATATTCTTGAAAGAGCCAAGAAAAAGATGGTGTTGGATCACTTAGTAATTCAGAGAATGGACACTACAGGGAAAACTGTACTACATACAGGCTCTACTCCTTCAAGGTATATTTGTTTATTCTTTCATATTAACTTATGCTTAAGTATATCTGACTATTTGAGTAAAAATGCAATTCATTTCACTTGGTTAATAAAAAGCAAAAAATATGTGGTAAGGAGTTACGTAAGTAAAGACTGCAAAGTATATTGTCTATGAACTTTTTTTTTACATATTTAATATGGGGGGGGTTTAAGTAAAAAGGAAATTTGACTCATGATTATAGTAATTTCAAAAAATTCACTAATATAAAGTATTTATCTGAAACTTTCTCTATTTCAGCTCAACACCTTTTAATAAGGAAGAGTTATCAGCAATTTTGAAGTTTGGTGCTGAGGAACTTTTTAAAGAACCTGAAGGGGAAGAAGAGGAGCCTCAGGTAAATGGAAAAGTGTATCTACACTTGATGGACAGAGAAACTAAAAATACATCTGAATTGTTTTGTTGTAAATAAAAACTTCTGTTTCAGGAAATGGATATAGATGAAATCCTGAAGAGGGCTGAAACTCGAGAAAATGAGCAAGGCCCACTAACTGTAGGAGATGAATTGCTTTCACAGTTCAAGGTATTGCTCTGGTTTCTCCCTCTTTGCTTAATTATACTTTACTTTATAAATGCTATTTTTTCTTCTTCTTCTTTTGTGCACCTATTCATCTTTTCTTCATTCTTATGAAACAGGTGCAACAATAAGTCAACTTTTTGGCATGGAATGTCTTTTCACCTATACAGGGTAATTACTGCCAGTGCAAACATGTAAATATAAATAATGTATTTTAGTAACAAAATAAGAAAGAGATTTACAAATACATTAGTCTTTGATTTAATTGTTACACTAGGGAGGGCTGTTTTTCATTTAATGCTTTATGCTGTTAAGCACCTGTGGTACTTCTGAAAACAGAGAATAAAATTTGGATTTCTTAGTTGATGACTGTTAGAAATTCCTTTCAGCCCCCACGTAACTGTGAATGCCAGATACGCTTAACTGGATAGCACTTAAAATATTAAATGGGTCAAAATTGTGTGTGGTGGCTTTGGTTTTGTAGGAGGATTTTTTGTGGATCTTTTTGTTGTTGTTTAGGTTTGATGTGTGTGGTGTGTTTTTGTTTGGTATTTGTTAAAAGCAAGGCAGGACTTTTTAGATTAGTAGAGTACTAAATCACTTTCCTGCTAATCATTCATTTGCAATATATTGTGATTTTTACAGTTTATTAATGTTTGAGCAGTTCTACATTATTATAGTTTCATATTAACTCGGGCATTCAGACTTGCTTTCTGCTTTGAATGAAATAAGCAACACAGCTATTGGGGAGGCATTTCATAGTGTTTCTATATTACTCAACTTGTAAAAGAAGAAAAAGATTCTTATCTTTATTCAGCCATGTTACATGGAGTGTGTGCATTTCATATATGAAAACACTTTCATTAGAGACAGTGTCTCGTGAAGCATTTTATGTGTGCATTTTGTGTATATATAAAGAAATAAAATATGCTGTTCTGAATTAACTTTTCCTAAAATATTAATTACTGACTCTTTGTTTAAATAAAATCATATACTGATTTGGTGAAAATACTTATGTTCCAATACATAAGGTGGCTAACTTTTCCAATATGGATGAAGATGACATTGAGTTGGAACCAGAACAAAATTTAAGAAACTGGGAAGAAATCATTCCAGAAGTCCAGCGGCGACGAATGGAAGAGGAGGAAAGACAAAAAGAGCTTGAAGAAATATATATGCTCCCAAGGATGAGAAACTGTGCAAAACAGGTATCTCTGGCTTTTGACCAACTAAAGTTAATTTTTCTTGTTTGTTTTTGTTGGTGTTGTTTTGGTTTCTACTTTTGGGTTGGGGGGTATTCATGCGTGGCGCCACCCCCCCATCCCATTTTTGACAGGCTAGATAACATATTAATAAAATGTTTTAATCACATAACTTTGAACTACTTAATCTGAAATTCCAGATCAGCTTTAATGGAAGTGAAGGGAAATGCAGTAGGAGCAGAAGATATTCTGGATCTGATAGTGACTCCATCTCGGAAAGAAAACGACCAAAAAAACGTGGACGACCACGAACTATTCCTCGAGAAAATATTAAAGGATTTAACGATGCAGAGATTAGGCGGTAAGATGTGGGGGGACGTGCATGCTTAAAGGGACAAAACATTTTTTAATCATTTTAGAATTTGAAAACATGAAAAACAATCTCTTTTTCCTGAATTTAGTTGAAAATTTTTATTCTAAGCATTTAAGGCTTTACTCTGTGCAGTTTGGGGTGCTGACATAAGGAAATGTTATATCCAGAATTTGAAACTGTTTTGGTGAGGGATAACATCAGGTTCAAAAAATGTCATTTGTTTTACAATCTTTTAATGTGTATTCTTCCTGCATCCCCTGAAGACAGGGATTTCAAAAACCAATTTCTAAAATGGGTGAGCTTTTAATTTTACCCCCACAAACAAAATATTCTCCTTCCCATCATTTAACCTAAAAACTGTAGTTGAAGAAATAACATGCGTGTTTTTGTGGCAATACCTACAAAAGGTTCAGTGAGTTTTGTTTTGTTTTAAATTTCTTGCCGTTGTTATTGAATTGTTATATGATGCTTTTTAAAACTAAAAAAAAAATATCCATTTTGATAAGTTGTTGTGCTTTAACCTTGGTAGGCAGCTAAGGCACCACACAGCTGCTCTCTGTCTCCCCCAGAGGGACTGGGGAGAGAATCAGAAGGGTAAAAATGAGAACTCATGGATTGAGATAAAGACAGTTTAATAGGCAAAGCAAAAGCTGCAAGCACAAGCAAAGCAAAATAAGGTATTCATTCGCTACTTCCCATTAGCAGGCACGCATTTACCTATTTCCCAGAAAGCGGGGCTTCATCATGCATAGCAGTTACTTGAGAAGACAAATGCCATAACACTGAATGTCCACTCTCCCTCCTTCATCCCTGTGGTTTTTGTTACTGAGCATGATGCCATACGGTATGGGATATCCCTTTGGTCAGTTGGGGTCAGCTGTCTCAGCTGTGTCCCCTCCCAACTTCTTGTGCACCCTCAGCCTACTCGCTGGTGGGGTGGGGTGAGGAGCAGAAAAGGCTTTGACTGTGTAAGCACTGCTCAGCAATAACTAAAACATACCTGTGCTATGATCAGCACTGTTTTGGTCACAAATCAAAAACATACTAGCAAGTATGGTGCTCTGAAGAAAATTAACTCAGTGAAAACCAGTACATAAGTGAATCTGTACAGCTGGTCCCATCAATATTTGATGCTAAAAATACTTCTTTGGTAGAAGGAGAAATTGTTTTGCTTTACTTTGATTGGATTGTGAAATGCTACATTGCTTTTTCATGTTTTTTTAAAATACTGTAAAACTTATAAAATATTTTATTATATAAATAACCTTAAAGAGCCTTGTTTCTTTTTCATTTCATCTAACATAATGATTTGCTGCTTTTGTTAGAAGTATTCTTGTGCTTGCATTCCTTTATCTTTCATGTTATGTTTTCCTAAGTCTTAAAATCACTTTAAAATTGCAGCTAGCTCTTCTTTATTATGAGAGGCCTAACATAATGTCTGAATTCTCTATTTACTATAAATCCACATTTGGTTTTTTTCTATTTGACATATCACATTGCTGAATGCTTTGTCTTGTGAAACTAATTGGTAATTTATGAAATAAATTGTATCCTCTATTGTTTTCTTACATCAGTTATTAAACCAAATAGATCTCTGGCTTTATATGTAGGTTATCTTGATATACTAAGCTGTCCTATTCTCTCTAGTTCTCATGTTCTTTGCACTGTCCACATAGCCTTGCACTAAGACTTTACAAATACATTTTGAAAACCAGTGTAGTTAACCATACAATTTTTAACTGCAAAACTATTTTCTGTTACTAGGTTTATCAAGAGTTACAAGAAATTTGGTGGCCCACTTGAAAGGTAAACTTATTTGATTATATTTGTATAGCAACTTGGAACCTTGTTTTCATTAATATTAGAACAATACACCAAGAAACATTAGGTTGAAGAGAAAATAGTGTGCCTAATATTTAGGCTTGACTATAACATGAATTGAATTTTTTTTCCTTTCTTCATATATAGTATGTATGTAGACAGCCAGTATGTCAATTCTTTAAATTTCTTTTTTATTTTTTGTTTACCTACTGTCTTGTTTAATCTGCATTAGTGACAATCATTCAGTTTTCTCGTTTGACAGAGTGGATAAAGTCATAGGCTTTCAACAGGCTAACTGCTAGTTTTAAATTTTTCTCATTCTCAGTTCTTATTTTAAGCTTTCTGTATTACTCTCTAGTTTTAGAATAATTTTCCACCTTCATTTTCTTTAATAATAATAGTCTATATGATCTTATTATATATCATAGAATCATAGAATGCATCAGGTTGGA